TTTCGATGATTGTCTGACAAGGTCCAGATATCTTGTTTGACTATTTTTACCTTGCCCCCAAAACCCGCCTGGCGGAGGACATGCCCGACCTGAGTGTAGACGAGAAGATAGCAGGACACCTTCCGTCGCGATTTTGTTTTTTCATGCCTCGAGGGGGTCTGGCATGGCCTGCAGAGGTCTGCGGGCAGTTGAGCAGGGACCGACCGTCCCGGCATTCCTATAGTCCTACCACGACATGTTCTTAGAACCCAAAAATGTTGTAATAACATAATCAGTGTTGTTAACACATCGACCCGATGTGTTAAGACAGGGCGGTCCCAGCCAGAACTGTTCGAATAACGTCTCGTGGAAACCACAAAAATTCCTGGAACATTCCTTGGTGGGGCTATCGGTGAGCCAGGACGCTTCGCCACTGCTTGAATGTTCCTCCTGTAGAGTGGCGTGCCCATTTTCATCCCAGAGCCCCGCCCGACCCCTCCCTCCGAGAAGCGAGGCGCCCGCCTTCCGAGGGCGAGGCGGAGCAGGAGGAGGAGGAGGAGGAGGAGGAGGAGGAGGAGGAGGACAATCACAGGCTAATGAGGAAGGCTAGGGTTAGGTCGGCCCGAGGAGGAGGAGGAGGAGGAGGAGGAGGAGGAGGAGGAGGAGGAGAGGGAGGAGGAGGGGAGGAGGAGGAGGAGGAGGAGGAGGAGGCGGAGGAGGAGGAGGAGGAGGAGGAGGAGAGGAGGAGGAGGAGGAGGCGGAGGGAGAGGAGGCAGGGGGCAGGGGGCCGCGGCCGCCCCCCGGCCCGAGGCGCCCATCGCGGGCGGCGCCCCGCCGCCGCCGCCGCAGGACAAGGCGCCGGCCTCGGTTCCGCGGGGGGGGGTGGGGGGGGAGGGCGGGCCCGGGCCTCCCCTCGGGCCCGTCGGGGGGCCCCTCGCTCGGGGGGGGGGGCGGAGGCCCCTGGGGGAGGCCTTGGTCCTCGATCCTGCCTGGCTCCCTCGAGCCTCGATCCTGGATTCTCTCTCTCTCTCTCCTTCTCTCTCTTGAAGATGAATAATAATAATGATGATGATACTAATAATACTAATAACAATATTAATAATAAAAAATGATAATAATAATCATAATAATAATCATCATCATAATAATAATAATATTAATAATAATAATTCTAATAATAATAATACTACTACTAATAATTATGATGATGATGATGATGATGATGATGATGATGATGATGATGATGATGATGATGATGATGATGATGATGATGATGATGATTATGATGATGATGATGATGATGATGATGATGATGATGATGATAATAATCATCATCATCATCATCATCATCATCATCATCATCATCATCATCATAATCATAATCATAATCATAATAATAAGAAGAATATGAAGAATAAGAAGAAACAACAACGCCGCAAACATAAACTTTCGGCGCTCCGCGCGGATTCCTTGGATCTGCGCTGGGACCCCCCTGGCGGCGCCAGGGGCGCCGCCCCTGGCGCGCTCCGCGCGCCAAAGGGAGGGGGGTCCAGCGCGGATCCAAGAAATCCACGTGGAGCGCCGAAAGTTTATGTTTAAGGCGTTTTCTTCTTCTTCTTCGTTTTTTTCCGTCTTCTTCTTCTTTATGTTTATGGCGTTTTGTTGTTCCTTCTATTCTCCCTTCCTCGATCGTCGGTAGGCGCCGGCCAGCCCCGGCGGGCCCGGGCTTAATCGGGCCTCGGGGGACACTCGTTCGGCGGGAGGGGGAGGAGGGGGGAGGCTCAGGGGGATGCTCGGCCCTCGATCCTCGCTTCCTCGAACCTCGATTCCCACGGCCACCGGGGATGGACGCCCCCCCCATCGTCTGCAATGGAGGATGACGATTCATAAATGACCTGGGGTCGTGTTCACGCGGCGGCGCCCGGGATGACGATTAGAAAAAACCGGCCGCGGGCTGGAACACTATTGTTTAAAATCGTTCTCCTCCAGTCAGACAACTATGCAGAAATAGCGAAGAACTATTTTTTTAATAGTTCTCTCCCATTTTTTTCTTCATCGTCATCCCGCATTACCCCAGGGTTGGGCCCCAGACCTCTGGTCCACTCGACCGCCCCACGATGGCCTGGGCTGGGGGCCCACGCTGCCCCTGGTCGGTGCGCTCGGTCCTTCGCTCCTGGCTTCCCCGCTTCCTCGCTCCTCTTGGCATCGCTCGGACGTGTGCAGTTTTTCCTTCGGCGAGGGCCATCGAGGAGCATCCTTGAGCATTTGGCGAAAAAGCCACGCGCGAAACCGAAAAAGAAAACACGGGGAATGGACGTCCGAGCGATGGCCAGTCCTGGAGCCTCGCCGCCTCGGCCGTCGGTCCCCGAGATCGCCGCGGGCGGAGCTCGGCCGGGCTCTCGGGGGGTGCGCCGCCGCGCCGCCGCGGTCTGGCCGGGCGCTCCGTGCCGAGATCGGGGCTGGACAGAACCCCCAACAGTGACACGTCGATTAGTGAATCGTCCGTTTTCGGTTCTCGAGAGGGCGCCGTGGCCGTTATTTTCCAGGCTTGCGCCCGCCAGGTTTGGGCCTCAGGTCGTTTTCACTAAACCACGTTTTACTAAAGGGGGTTCTGTCCATCCCGACAAGATCGCCCCCCCCCCCCCCCCCTCCCCGCGCCCCCCAGACCTCTCCTTGGGGCCCACTGCGGCGTTGGGAGGGCGAAGCGTCGTCCTCCCCGAGAGGCTGCTGGGGGCAGCGCGGCGCATCTCGGCAGACAAGAGGTCACGCCACTGCAAAGTCACGCGTTGGGGCCAACCCCGGGTAGGCTCGGAGGTCATCCCGGGCTGCATGTCCAGGGCCATCTCGGAGGACGTCTCAGGGTCTCCGGGATGTCTTTACGACCCGCGGCCAGTGAGGCCGAGAGCCGGCAGCCACGCGCAGAGGGGGGGTGGGGGGGGGGAGGGGGGAGGGCTTCTTAGAAGCACCCCTGCTTCTTAGAAGGCGCGGGCCTTATCTATAGATGTAAGGCCGGCGCCTTCTAAGAAGCAGCCTCCTTCTAAGAAGCCCCCCCCCCTCCCTCCACCCCCTTGTGCGCGCCGCCAGACCCCGGGGGAAGCGGACGAAGATGCTGTTCAGCGCCACCGCGATCACCGAGATGAGTGCCCAGGGATCGGTACTTTGTCAGCGCGCAGGGAACGCGCGACCTTCCTTCAGCGATCTGAGTCTCCTCCTCCTCCTCCTCCTCCTCCTCCTCCTCCTCCTCCTCCTCCTGGGTCTCACAGTACCCATCTCCAGAGACGGGCCCAGAGTAGCCAGCAACCTCGATCCTCCATATTCGTGCCATCCTTGATGCTCGATCCTTCTTTCCATGAGTCCAGCCAGAACGCCTAGATCCTTGACCCTTCTCTTCTTCCCCCTCCCGATGGCTTGATGGTCAATTCTCCACCCTCGATGCCCGTCTTGGCTTAAAGGCCTCGATCATCCATCCTCCGCGTCCTGGAGACATGTCGGTCTTGCCCTCAAACCTGGACCCTCCATCCTCGTAATCATCCAGCGCTGAATCCTCGATCTTCGATGCTCTTTCCCTGAATGGCCTCACAGTCTGTTGTCCTCAATTCTCGGTCCTCCTCCCCACTATCCATCCCCAACTCTCCGACCCTCGATCTTGGTGGTGATCCAGCAAGGCAATCCTCGATCCTCGATCCTTCTCCTAATGGCCTGCTGGCCTATTAGTCCGCAATCCTAGGTCCCCCCAGATTTTCTCCAGCAACAGATCTCGACCCTCGATCTTTCTCCTGCGCTAGGTTTGTGGCGCGTTGACGCAGCGGGGACGCCGGCGCTAGCGTTCAGGGCTGACATCCGGCAGCTGCCCGCACTCGGCCACTATTGACCAATCTCTGACATCGGAAAGCGGCGTTCGTACAATTCTATACGAACCTTGGCGGTGTCACGAACTAGCGCCGACGTCGTCACGACAGGGGCCTAGTCCTCGATCCTTGATCATACGTCCAATCATCCACACAGACCACAGTATTTCGATCCTCGATTCTCCTCCTGACGGTTTCACCAAGAGGTCATGAGACCGTCAGCGAGGACGACGGTCGCGGGCGGAGGATCGACTCGGAGGGAGGAGGGTCAAAGATGGAGGATTCGTAGGGCGAGCCTCGACCGTGCCCGACCGTGAAGTGGCCCACTCGGGAAACCCTGAATCCAAACATCATCATCATCATCATCATCTTCATCATCATCATCATCATCATCATCATCATCATCTTCATCATCATCATCATCATCATCATCATCATCATTATCATCATCATCATCAACAACAACATCAACATCATCAACATCATCGTCACAATCATCATCACCATCATCATCATCATCATCATCATCATCATCATCATCATCATCATCGACGCCACGCCTTTTACTTCCACCAGTCTCGGCCGCCGTCTGGCTTCTGGCTTCTGCCGCGGGCGAGCTGCGCCGAGGGCGAGGCCTCTGCTGGCGCGCCCGAGGCGGCCTCGTCGTGTCGACGTGTCGCCGCTGTCTTGTTCATTGCTTTGCCGACCGGCGCCGGCCCTCGCGGCCCCCCTCTCCCCCCGCCCCGTGGAGCAGTAGATCTTGGCTGTCTCTAGCGCCGGTTTCGAGCAGGTGGGTCTCCCCCCCATAAATGGACGCCCTGTTGCAAGCGGTCGCAATGAGCAGAGGTCCAGAGCCAGACTCCCCCCCCCTCCCCCCCCCCTTCCGCCCAGTGTCGAAGCGCCGACTGAGAAAGGTTCACCATCGCTGCTCCGCCCCCGCCCCTTGTTCCGCTCGACCTGTGCGGTCGGAACGCCACGATCGCTCAGGGCCGAACGTTCCGCGCGCTGCCGGAAAAATCCGCGCGCGAGTCGTCGCGGCACGAACTTGCCGCACCATATACGGCGCCAGGTGTCTTCGACCGTGCCGACGTCGCTCCGAGGCTCCGCCCACCTGGCGGATTTGTTTGATTTCAGTTCGACTCTAGTTTGTCTGAAGGTTGGCTCGAGTTCGACGCAAGTTCGACTCAGGTTCGGCTCAGGCTCGACTCGAGGTCGACTTGGGGTCGACTCAGGGTCCACGGACGCTCGACGCGGCTTCGACGCAAGAGTGGAGCGAGTGTCTCCAGGAAGGTCCCCAGAAGGAGCATCCAAGGCACGCGAGAGTGACCTTCCGCCAGAGTGACCATCTGGTGCGCGGCCTTTCGGGGGGGGGGGGGGGGGGGGGCGGGCGGGGGGCCACGCCCGAGCCTCGGCGGCTCAGAGATGGGACCCTGCGGGGCGGGGCTCGAAGGCCGAGGGCCTCAAGTGGTGTCACAGGAGATGTTTCTCCCCCCCTCCTCCCTCTCCCTCCCCCTCCTTCTCCTCCCCCCCCTCCTCCTTTTCCTCCTCCTTCTCCTCCTCTTCCTCCTCCTCTTCCTCCTCCTCCCCCTCCTCCTCTCCTCCCTCTCCTCCCCTCTCCTCCTCCTCCTCTTCCTCCTCCTCCCTCCTCTCTCTCTCCCTCTCCTCCTCCTCCTCCTCCTCCTCCTCCTCCTCCTCCTCCTCCCTCCTCCCTCCTCCTCCTCCTCCTCCTCCTCCTCCTCCCCCTCCTCCTCCTCCTCCCCCACAGGTCATCACCCCCCCGCCCGAAAAACGCTTGTCTCCTCTGAGGACGGCGCACCCTTCGCACCCGGGCCGCCGACCCGACGCACACGACCGAGCCGCTCGCGTCGCGCCGCGCCGCCGCGGCTCGGCAGGCCGTGCAGGCAGAAGGCCACACCCCGCCCCACGATCCTCAAGAACAAAAGAACCCCTACCAAGGGCTCCCTCGAGGGCGCGAAGTTATTCGCGCTTCGCGCTTCGCGGTCCTCGTTCCTTCTCCCCCTCCTCCTCGTCCTCCTATTCTCCCTTTGGGCGGGCGGCGCGAGAGCGCGAAGTTCTTCGCGCTTCGCGCTTCGCGGAGCGCGAAGCGCGAAGTTGGGAGCCCTAGCCTACAGTGGAGGCCCATGCCAAGAAACACCCTGCTTGTCTCCAGGGTGCCCTGGGTTTCTTGGGTTTCGACGGCTTTGCTGTGGAAGGCGCGACGTTCCCACACCGAAAGTCAATGGACGTCCTGGGGTCTCAGGGTTGGGTTTCTTGTGGAAGGTTTCTTGTGGACTGGCCTCCACTGTACGATGAAGACGTGGCCTCGCTGAGGTCCCCGTCTTTGCATTAGGGACGATCGATCTGGACGGTTGAGTTCGACACATCTGCAGGGAAAGCCCTCCATCCCTGGTGTTTTTGGCCTCCCTGACTCAGGTCCCCTCCCAAAGGGTCAGGGGTCCTTTTTCTGGATGCTCGAACAATGGGGCCCAAACTCCGCGGTGCAGCCGGCCCCCCCCGGCCCGAGCGGGGTCCCCGCCAGAGGCGCCCGAGGACGCGGGCGACGAGCCCGGGGACGGCGAGAAGGGCGGCGCGGTGGCCTGCGGAGGCTGACGATGATAATGCTGCTGATGATGATGGTGATGATGTTGATGATGGCGGTGATGATGACGAGGAACGTGATGAGGATGTTGATGTTGATGATGTTGGCCACAATTTTATTATCACTAGTGTATGATGGTGCTGATGCTGATGCTGTTGCTGCTGTTCATGACGATGCCTATGCTGCCGCTGATGCTGACCATGACGATGACGATGATGAAATGAGTAGCATGGGGATGCGGTTGATGGTGCTGGTTATGATATGATGGTTCAAACAATGGTGACAAGGATGCGGCTGCTGCTAATCATGAGGATGATGGTGGTGATGATGATGAATATGATGACGATGATGATGATGATGATGATGATGATGATGATGATGATGCCGATGATGATGATTATGATGATGATAATGCTGAGGGTGAGGATGAGGGTGAGGATGATGATGCATATCGTAGTGCTGATGATGATCTTGATGATGACGACGGCGATGAGGATGATACTGCTGCTGATGATGATGATGATGATGATGATGATGATGATGATGATGATGATGATGCTGACGACGATGATGCTGATGATGATACTGCTGCTGCTGTTAATCAAGATTCTGATTCTGATGATGATGACGATGCCGATGACGACGATGATAATGATGATGCTGACGATGTTGCTGCTGCTGATACTGAGGGTGCTGCTGCTGATGATGCTGATGATGATGATGATGATGCTGATGCTGATCTGATGATGCTGATGATGATGCTGCTGATGACAATGATACTTATGATTCTGACTGTGGTGGTGATGATGATATAGGGTGATGACGATTATGACGATGATAATGGTGATGATGATGGTGATGCTGATGATGCTGATGATGCCGATGCTGTTGATGATGCTGCTGATGATGATGACGATGATGCTGATGATGATGACAACGATGATGCTCATGGTGATGATGATGATGATGATGATGATGATGATGATGATGATGATGATGATGATGACGATGATGATGATGATGATGATGATGATGATGATGATGATGATGATGATGATGATGATGATGACGATGACGATGAAACCTAGGAGGAAGAGGAAGGGGAGGGGGAGGAGGAGGAGGAGGCGGAGGAGGAGTTGGCGGAGGAGGAGGAGGAGGAGGAGGAGCAGCAATGGGAGGCGGGGAGGGGGAGGGGGAGGATGAGTATGACGACGATGATGAGGAACATCAGGAGGTGCGGGAGGATGATGAGGAGTCGGGGATGGCGGGGATGATAAGATGGAAGAGATGTGGAGAGAATGATTTGCGCACTGGGTTGAGGCGGGGCGAGAAAGGCCTGGATAGACACCGATGAAAAGGGTGGGGGGGCGGGGCAGAGAGCGAGGGAGAAACGGATAGAATGTTGCGGGACGAGGGGTGACGGGAACGCGGGGAGGGCGGCGAGCAGGAGAACACTAGATGGATGGATGCGAGGTAGAATTGCTGGAGCAAGAGTGGAGAGGTGGGTCCGTGCGAATGCGTGTGGGAGCCCGGCTGCCTCGGGCAGTTCTCTCCCGGCGAGCCTTGGAGACCGTGCCAACCCAACCGCAGACCTTCGATGTCTTCATGCTTGTAATGCTCTAGGCTTCCTAGACGGGGTCGGAGTAGATGGGATCGAAGGATCGCGCCGCATCGCCGATGCGGCTCGATGTGGTGCCCGATGTTCTCCGCGCTGGCGTCGCCAGTGCAACGCCGATGCATCGGCGCGGCGGCGCGATCCTCCGACCCCATCAAAAGTCGGACCCCATCTGGGAGGCCTCTGACTGCGGGTCCCCAGGCCTCTCCACACCGTCCTGGGCTCAGTGGGCCCTGGAAACGACAGGGCCGTTTTTGTTACCGGTTCCGTTTTGCCGTTTTTTCTGCCGGTTCCGACGCCGTTGTTTTACCGGTTCCGTCGCCGTTTCTTGATCGGTTCTGGCTCCAGTTCCGGTCCTGGAGCCGTTTTTTGGCCGTTTCCGGTCGCCGTTTTCTTGCCGTTTCCATTTTCAATGGACATTTTGTTTTTCTGGAAGCGGTGAAAAAGCGGCCCTGCCGTTTCGGGGGCCCACAAAGGTTCAGACCCATGCCCCGGGGCCGGTTTTTCATCCGGAGTCGTCGTCTGACAGTCCCGCGGGACTGTCAGACGACGACTCCGAGGCCTCGCGAGGCCCAGCATGAGGGCCCCCAGAGGCCTCGCGGGGCCCTCATGCTGGGCCTCGCGAGGCCCAGCATGAGGGCCCCCAGAGGCCGAAGATAGTGAGAAACCTCACGTCGTGCTTTGGTTCGCAGCGCGAGGGGGTCTGGGTTGGAACCACCAAAAAGGTTCTCGGGGGCCCTCGCCGTGCCCCCGGGCCGCACCGGGGCCCGCAAGGGTCCTGGGGACCGGCTGCTCCTCCCGTTGGGTGCGCTTTTGCGGCCCTTGGGAGTCCGAGCGCGGCCTCCACGCGCGCGGGACACGGGGAGCGCCGCCGCGCGATGCTTGCTTGCAGCGCGGGAGGTCTGGGGCCCTCCTCGCTTGTCGGTCCCCTCCCCCCTCCTTGCGGGCAATAGTTATATCCACATCCAGTGCGTCTTGGAGTCTTGGGCTCTCTTCCCCAGAAGCCGTAGACGCTCTGGATATGGATAAAAATCTGGCCCCAAGAGGCTTGATTTTATCCGTATCCAGTGCGCCTCGGCGTTGCGGCACCTCTTCCCGAAAAGTCCAAGACGCTCTGGATATGGATATAAGTACTGCCCGCAGTCCTCCTCCCCGTCACAGTCAAGTCGGGCATGTCCCTCTAAAGGAAGAACATTCACACGTAGTCAAACAAGTAATCTGGTGACGATCTTCTTATTTCCCCAAACAGCTTGCTGAACGGGGTGCTGTTGTGGTAGAAACTAACTCCGGCCGAGGGAAGTCGGAGCAGAGACATCCTCACACAAAAAAATATGGTTTTGGCCGTTTCGCTTGAGCCATCCTCACGCCTCTCGTTTCTGAGTTGGCCGGGATTGGCCGTTTCGCCTGAAACATCCTCGAAAAGTTGCGCTCCGGGACGCCGCGCGAGAGGTGGTCCGGGCCGTTTCGCTTGAGACATCCTCGAAACTCTGAGCCCCGAGGTGCCGTGCGAGAGGTGGTCCGGGCCGTTTCGCCTGAGACATCCTCGAAACTCAAAGCTCTGCGATGCCTTGCGCGAGGTGGTCCGGCCCGTTTCGCCTGAAACATCCTCGAAACTCTGACTTCGGAGATGCCGCGCGAGAGTTGATCCGGCCCGTTTCGCCTGAGACATCCTCGAACTTCTGAGCTCTGAGATGCCCTGCGCGAGGTGGTCCGGCCCGTCTCGCCTGAGACATCCTTGCAACTCTGAGCTCTGAGATGCCGTGCGCAAGGTGGTCCGGCCTGTTTCGCACAAGACATTCTCGCAACTCTGAGCTCTCAGATGCTGCGCAAGAGGTGGTCCAGCCTGGGGGCCCAGAAGACCACATGTTACATATCCTCCATGGGACCCTGCGAGCCTCAGGAGGCCCCAGAGAAGTCCAGGAGGCCGCAGGACGCCCAGGACAGGCCCCAGGGGCCCCCAGGAGATTCCCAGGTGGCTCCCAGGAGGCCCCAGGAGGCCCTCTATCAGAACGTGTCGAGTTAATACACATCCGGTGTCGATTCGTTGACTGTATTTTGAAGGGCCCAAGCGGCCACAGGTTAGATATCTCCCCTGGGAGCCCCAAGATGCTTCAGGAAACCCCAGGTGGAGTTCATGAGGCCACAGGAGGCCCAGGAGGAAGCTCCAGGAGGTCCCCAGGAGGCCCCAGGAGGCACCAGGAGGCCGCAGGACGCCCAGGACAGGCCCCAGGGGTCTCCAGGAGATTCCCAGGAGGCTCCCAGGAGGCCCCAGGAGGCCGCCTATCAGAACGTGTCAAGTTAATACACATCCGGTGTCGATTCGTTGATTTTTCCTGCTCTTGTGCCCCCCCCTCCATTTGGAGAGGCCCAAACGGCCACAGGTTAGATATCCCCCCTGGGAGCCCCAAGAGGCTTCAGGAAACCCCAGGTGGAGTTCACGAGGCCACAGGAGGCCCAGGAGGAAGCCCCAGGAGGTCCCCAGGAGGCCCCAGGAGGCACCAGGAGGCCCCCGCAACTCGGAGCTCTGAGACGCCGCGCTCGAGGTGGTCCGGCCCGTTTCGCCTGAGACTTCCTCGCAGCACGTTTCGCCCGAGACATCGTCGCAATTCTGGGGTCCGAGATGCCGCGCGCGAGGTGGTCCAGCCCGTTACGCTGGAGACATCCTCGCAACTCTAGGCTCCGAGATGCCGTTCGGGATGAAGAGGAGGTGGAGGAGGAGGAGGAGGAGGAGGAGGAGGAGGAGGAGGAGGAGGAGGAGGAGATGGAAGGGAGAAGGAGGAGGCGGATGATGTGCATGAGGGAGCAGGCAGGAGGAGGGGGAGGCCCCAGAGAGCTTCAGGAGGCCGCAGGACGCCCAGGACAGGCCCCAGGGGTCCGCAGGAGATTCCCAGGAGGCTCCCAGGAGGCCCCAGGAGGCCCCCTATCAGAACGTGTCAAGTTAATACACATCCGGTGTCGATTCGTTGATTTTTCCTGCTCTTGTGGCCCCCCCTGTATTTTGAGGGGCCCAAGCGGCCACAGGTTAGATATCCCCCCTGGGAGCCCCAAGACGCTTCAGGAAACCCCAGGTGGAGTTCACGAGGCCACAGGAGGCCCAGGAGGAAGCCCCAGGAGGTCCCCAGGAGGCCCAGGAGGCACCAGGAGGCCCCCGCAACTCGGAGCTCTGAGACGCCGCGCTCGAGGTGGTCCGGCCCGTTTCGCCTGAGACTTCCTCGCAGCACGTTTCGCCCGAGACATCGTCGCAATTCTGGGGTCCGAAATGCCGCGCGCGAGGTGGTCCAGCCCGTTACGCTGGAGACATCTTCGCAACTCTGGGCTCCGAGATGTCTTTCGGGATGAAGAGGAGGTGGACGAGGATGAGGAGGAGGAGGAGGAGGAGGAGACATGTTTTAACATGCCATGCCAGCCCGCACTGGACGGGCACGCAATCGACCTTGGAAACCGCAGTGGGTCTAAAAACCCTGTTTGGGGATACTGCACTCCGGCTATAATGTTTTTTTTTATTTGTTTGCGTATGTTTCGCAATGTTTTCACTTTCGCCCCAAATCCGCCTGCAATGCCCGGCCTAAGACTGCATGTGGGAGCGACCCTTCGCTGGAGTGGCCTCTGGTGCGGGCTCAACGGGGCCCCCTCGCGCCCCCCAACAAAACACCGTGCAGCAGAAGCCACGCTTGACCAGGGTCACTCTTGCGTGTAGCCTTAAGTCGGGCCTGTCCCTCTGCTCGGGGGCGGAAAAGCGGGGGGTGATGCCTAGGGGGGGGTGGATATCCTGGCGGGGGCCATGATATTTCCCCAGATTTCATGGCGCCTCTTCTCATTTCATTACGTCCCTGCCCCCCCCGCTGGGCCGCGCACATGCCGCCGGTCATGATTTGCACCCCCCCCTCTTGGACACCCCCCTCTTGGCCGCTCCCGATCTACAGGAGGAATATTCAAAAAAAGAGTAAGAGACATCGTCTGGGGACGATTTTTGAAATATTTTTTGACTACTTGGGAATATTTTTCATCAGGTTGATTTGTCGTGCAAGCCCCCCCTGTTGGAGGACATGCCCGACTGTCAGCTCGATGATCAATAAGAGCAGATTTACCAATGGACGCATCACCGACTAATAAAAGATGTGGTGTTTTAGTAGGAGCCATGGTCTCAACGCTAGTGTTGGGATGTGTATGAATTTGAGTAATGTGATCAACAATACGTTGATAACATGGATGACTGTAGAAAGTACAGTTAAAGATGAAACAGTTTCGCCAGATCTAGTTTTATAAAAGTGCAGTCGATCATCGGGGGATGCTGCTGGGAGAACGGGAGGAGGAGGAGGAGGAGGAGGAGGAGGAGGAGGAGGAGGAGGAGGAGAGGAGGAGGAGGAGGAGGAGGAGGAGGGGGAGGAGGAGGAGGAAGAATTGGAGGAGGACGAGGAGGACATGCCCGACCTAAGTGCAGTCGATCCTCGGGGGATGGATGCTGGGAGAACGGGACGGGGCTATTAGGACGAGGATCGATGCGTTCCAGGGGCGTCTCGGAGCGCTCCGAGCAGGCCGCGGCGCCCGAGGCATCCTCCTCCTCCTCCTCTCCTCCTCCTCCTCCTCCTCCTCCTCCTCCTCCTCCTCCTCCTCCTCCTCCTCCTCCTCGGATATCTCAGATGTGCTCGGTGCGTCTTCACCCGAAGGCAACTCCTCGTCGAGGCTTCGTCTTCGAGAGGGAAAGTGCGTGTGTGCGTGTGCGTGCGTGCGTGCGTGCGTGCGTGCGTGCGTGTGCGTGCGTGCGTGTGTGTGTGTGTGTGTGTGTTTGTGCTTAGTGGGGGGGGGGAGAGGAAGCAGCGCGAGGAGCGCAGCCCGCCTCCCCGGAGGCGACTTCGACGCCGAGCGGGGCGTCTGGACAGAGCCGCCGCAGGGGAGGGGGGGGGAGGGGGAGAGCGGAGTGAGGGCGAGCCGAGACGAGGGCCACCGCTTCTTGGCCCTCTTTGTGGGCTCCCGCGCCCTCCTCTCACCAGCCTCGAACTGATCCCTATCCCTAAGATTGACACGCCAGAAGGCGATGACAATCACAGGGCTGCGCCCTGAAAAACGAAGGGAATCCCTAAGATTGGCATTGTGATGAGGCGATGCCCAGCTTAGGGATAGGGATACGTTCCAGGCTGGTAATCCTCGGTCAGGGCGCGGCTCGGGAAGCTGGTGCCTCAGCACGAACGACATGGGTACAGAAAAATGGGTGCAATGCCCAACACCAGTTCCTGTTCATTTTGAACCGGACTCGCTGTCGGCGCCGCCGCGGCCTGTGTCCATATGAGACAGACGGCCGCCTGCCCCCCAACAGCGGCCGCGGTTGGCTTGGGACAACACTTGTTGTTGGGCATCGTGCCCATTTCTTCCGTGCCCATTTCGGGCGTCCAAAGGCGCCGTGTTGGGACCCTGGGAGGGGAAGCCCGAGGGCCGATGCTCCGCGGACTTGGGGAGGGCGGTGGGGCTGCCGTGGCCTCACCGCCGTTGTCTCGACATGGGCCCTCCTCCGAGGCGCGAGGCGGGGCTGCACCCCGGGAGCACAGGGGCAGCGCCGGGGTGCCCCTCGGCAGCGCTGGCGGGTCGGGCAGTCCTAGGTGTCGCCCGGGCGGCGCGGAGAAGCGCACACGTATTCGCTCCCTGGCCCGCGGAGCTCGCCATGGCGACAGGGGCGGCGCCATGGGCGCCGCCGGGGGGGGGGCAGTTATTATTCGCGCTGATCCCAGAGGTCCGTGCGAGCCTCCGACGCGTGTCGGTCGGGAGGTGTTGGTTGGCGTGTCGCTCCGCCGGTCCTGACCCACCGCGCTTCGGCGCGACACGCTACCCAATTCCAGGTCCCCCAGCGTCAACGTCCCGAGTCTTTATTGGCCTCCGGCCCTGCTGAGCGAAGCGACAGGCTTTCTGCTCGCAAGCGGTAGCGGGTCGCCAGGGTTGCTGTGGCGTCACGCTGAGCAAAAGTTACCGAACTTCTGTGCCGCCGTCCATTTTGTTCGCGTCACGAGGACTCTGTACTGGAGCGGCGGTCATAGCCAACACTGGGTCACACAGCCCCTTTTGGCCACGGGGCCAAGACGGGGTCACATCAGCCCCGCTGTTCTCTCGAGGGCTTCCCCGAGGGATCCCGAGCAGGGTCGCGCAACATGCCCGCCAACACGTGTGTGTGTGTGTGTGTGTGGGTGATTGCCGCAGGTTGGCAGCTCTACAACATGGACGCGGCCGTGTTTAATTCTGATGTTTCGTAGCCCTCAAGCAGCAGCGCTGAGTGCCGTTGTTTGATGTTGTTGCTTAGTTTTCATGTTGCAGGTTGAGTGCTGATGTGCTGCTGTTCGATGTCATGTTCAGGGCTGATGGGCTGTCGCTTATTGCTGATGTTCCATTGCAGCAGAGCCCCGCGCGCAGCGGCGGGCGGCCCTCGAGAGTCTGCAGGCCCTCGGGGGCCCTCGGCGGCCCTCGGCGGCCCCCGGCGGCCCTTCCGGCGGCCTTCGGGCGGCCCGGCGGCGCGGGCGTGGCGAGGGTCGGCTGGAGGCTCGGGCGGAGCAGGAGTCAATCAGGAGGGAGAAAAACACACAGACACAATGAATCGTCGATTCCCAGGAAAATATTGGGAAATATGGCAGTTGGGGGGAAGACGAAAACCTAGAAAATATAGGGAAATATGGGGAATCCTTTTATTTGTGTGTATTTATTTGTGTGTCCCAGGGCCCCTTCAGTTTTCGGTATAGCAAGTCATGGGACAGCGTCGACTCGCCTGGCGATCGATGGGCGAGAGCGCCGATCCAGCGTCGACTAGCGTCGGTTCAGCGTCGGTTCAGCGTCGATGCGCCTCGATTCGCGAGAGTCAACAAGATGGCATGGGAGGCTCCCGTGAGTTGCCGCAGACAGGCAGGGTTTGGCGGCGAGGAGGAGGAGGAGGAGGAGGAGGAGGAGGAGGAGGAGGAGGAGGAGGAGAAGGCGGACGGAGGAGGAGGGAGGAGGGAGGATGATGAGGAGGAAGAGGAGGAGGGGAAGGAGGCCTTGGACGTTGTCCTCTCGTCACCGTTCACCGGACCGGGCTTTGTCCCCGAGTCGTGTTTGACGGTCCCGGGGCCTGGTGGTTGCTCCAATCTGCGCCTCCGAAATGAAGGGAGTCCGAGTAGATGGGGTCGGAGGATCCTGCCACATCGCCGATGCATCGGTGATGCGGCTCGAAACCGAGCCAGATTTTCTCCACGCCGACGTCGCCGATACATCGTCGATGTCGCCGATTAATGAATGATGAGTCTGCGATGCATCGGCGATGCGGCGCGATCCTCCGACACCATCTACTCGGACCCTATTTGGGAGGCCTCTGTTCGGCGGCTAGCCCGGGGGGAAGTGAGAGGAGGCGGGCCTTCTCAGGAGGCTCGGAAGCCCCCCGGCCGTCTGAGAAGTTATCTGAGCCTCCCCCAGAGACGCCGACGAGTTCTCCGAAGGCGCGAGGGCTTCTGAGAAGCTCCGCCGCTTCCGGAGCAGCCTTTCTCCTTCTCACTTTACGGAGAATATGGCATAAACAATAACTCGGAGGTCCGCGCGGATTTCTCAGATCGGCGCTGGACCCCCTCCTTGGCGCGGTGAGCGCGCCAGGGGCGGCGCCGGAGGCTCCGGACGTCCAGGGTTAAGTCGGGCCTGCCCCTCTCAAAGAGGAGTACACAGAAAGAGTCAAAAAATAGTAAGGGGACGATTTTTCGATATTTTTGTACCTATTTTTGAATATGTTCTAGTTTTGTTTCGCCAGAGATCCGCCTGTAGGGGGACGCGCCCGACCTAAGGCTGAGGTCGAAGGAGCACGCCACATCGCCGAAGGAGTCCAGAAAGGAATCCTCGGGGCGCGGGTCGCTGGATGTGGATCTCTTCCTCCGCGCCATGGGGGGGGGCGGGAGGGGATCCCCCGGGCAGCCGGCGCCGTGCTTTTGTCGCCCCGCCCCCCCTAGGGCCCGGACCTGTTCCCCAGGGGCAGTCGTTCATCTCTCTAGGCCTCCCAGATGCGTCGGGCCGGACGAAAGGGGGGGATTGGGAAAGGGGGGGTTACGACATTTGCTGCATGCAGCTGGTTTCTGCCCCACCGAGGGGCCCATTCCTCGATACATAGTCGCTTCCGTCGCCGGGAGGCGCCGGGAAAATCAGCTACGTGAGCTGATTCTCAAACACCCCCTTTGCTATCCCCCCCTTTCGCCCGACCCGATGTTCCCCAGGGGCAGTCGTTCATCTCTCTAGGCCTCCCAGATGGGGTCCGAGCAGGTGGGGGCGAACAAATCACGCCGCATCGCCGATGCATTGGCGATGCGGCTCGGTGTGGAGCCAGATTTTCTCGGCACCGACGGCGCCGATGTCTTGCCGACGTCGCCGATGTATGGCCGATACGTCGTCGACGAGGCATCGGCAGTGCGGCGCGATCCTCCGACACCATCTACTCGGACCACATCTAGGAAGCCCCTAGAGATCGTTTTTGGAATATGTTTTTTCCTTTGAGTGTTCCTTATCAGGGGTCCATGCGAGTCTCCGTTGAGATTCCTTCAATGCTTCTTTTGTGTGCTGGCGACGTTGCCTGGAGGGCGCCGCCGAGCATACTCACTTGCTTTTTGGTGCCAGCCGATGTCGCGGGGGGGGGGATACTGTTAAATCGAGCCTGTCCCCCTACAGGGGGATTTTCGAGGAACAACAAAAAAACCGAAAAGAGCCCCAAAATAGTCCAAAAATAGTCTGGGGACTATGTTTTGAGCATTTTTTGCCCTTTGTGGGATATTTTTTGGGGTATTCTTTATCCTTCGTCGAAAATCCCCCTGTAGGGGGGGGCAGGCCCGACCTACTGTTAGTCCCGGCCCCTTGCCCAGGCTTCTCCTCCCCAGCCATTTTTTTCATGAGTCCCGGCATCGCCCGGACGTGTGCATCTTTTCTCGGCGAGAACCATGGAGGACGATCCTGGACCATCGAGCAAACAACAAAAAAAACACGCACGAAACCGAACAAATGCACGGGAAATTCGGGCCGGGCGAAAGGGGGGGATTGGGAAAGGGGGGGTTACGAAATTTGCTGCATGCAGCTGGTTTCGGCCTCACCGAGGGGCCCATTCCTGGATACATGGCCACCTCCGGCGCCGGGAGGCGCCGGGAAAATCAGCTACGTGAGCTGATTCTCAAACCCCCCCTTTGCTATCCCCCCCTTTCGCCCGACCCGAGAAATGGACGTCCGAGCGATGGCGAGTGATCGGAGGCAGCAGGGCAGCTCTCCGGCTGGGGGCCCGTGGAGAGGCGAGCGGGGGCCGCCCGTGGGGGCCGCACGGGGGCTGCGTCGGGTCTTGCGTTCAGTCGGGCCTGTCCCCCTACAGGGGGATTTTCGACGACAAATAACAAATACCCGAAAACTAATCCAGACATAATGCAAACATAGTCTGGGGACTATGTTTTGAGTATTTTTTTGACCTCTTTGGGGTCTTGCCACGGAGCAGAAACGGCCAACCACTCGGGCGAAGAGAGCTATGCACATGCACCGATCCTGGCAAGGCCCAGCCTTGACCCAGGATCGGTGCATGCGCTTTCCTGGCCACTGCAGGAGGGCATGTGCACCGATCCTTGGCTCGGGATGGTCCTGGCAAGAATCGGTGTATGTGCATAGTTCTCTTTCCTCTACCACTGTGAGGGGCCCCTGCACGGCAGCGGCAAAGAAATCCGGGGCGTCGGCCGCTGCGAAGGCGGAGGCGCCATCCTCACTCCGCGCAGCGCGAGGTGCCGGTGGAGGCACTTGAGCCGCTCAGGACATGGCCCGTGTGCGAGTGCAGCACGAACCTAGCGCGCCTGGACGCAATCAGACAGCTGTGCTGGGCAGATGGAAAAGTGCTACAGGTTAGTGGACATGGACCTAGGTT